GGTGATAGAATTAAAGCGATTCCAGGTGTATAAACTTCTAGCCCAGCCCAGCATGCACAAGTTCACTCAATCTGGCTACACCCCTTTGCCTCATGACAGCTGGCAAGGGTGTCAGGGCAGAAAGTCTCAGCCTGGGCTTCGTGTCACACCTCTGAGTCACTAAGGGATAGGCTGCATGATTTGCCAAATAATTCCCTTAAGGCATCCAGTTTAGCAAGATAAAGTCCAGAAATGATCTTCCGGGGACCAGACAATGCTCAAGGCTGGACCCACCAACCCTCCTGGATATTTTCAGCTTGTAGATTCCCTCAGGTGGCCTACTTTGGTATAAAGTAACTTACCTGTTTGAAACAGATAGGTGTGGTGGGCAGGAATTCTTACTGTTTCTCAGTATAGAGGGTCTTATCTGTATGCCAGCAACTACACCCAACACTGAAAGCCCACAGTGCCGATATCAACAGCCAAGATCACAGGGTCTCAACTGGAGGGTGACATTTCCTCCTCAGGGGCTCTGGCTGAAAACTTGTCACAACTTGGGGGGTGGGAATTACTAGCCCTGGTGGATTGCGGACATCCCTGCTGTGAAGTATTCAAGAGTACACAGGAAAGACCCCACCCCTGCTGCAGAAAGAATTCTCTTCCCTAAGCTGTCAATAGGGCTAAGATTGAGAAATGTCCCTAGCTCTCATCAGCCCTAATGCCTTTGACAAATATCACCCAGGTGCTGTAGATGATAAAACAGATAAATGAGGTGACCTGGCCCTGTTTGCCCATCTGGGTAAGAGAGGAGAGAGATTCTAACCACCTTGCTTCAAACTCCCTGAGGCCCGAGTCACTGCACAAGGTATTATTCACAGTGATCTCTGTTTCAGACATGGTATGCAACTGTACACAAGTGTTTACTTCAGGATTTCTTAAGAGGACAAATGGCCAGATAAAGCTCTTAGATCTCCAAAACAGAAGGATTTCCCAACTGCCATATGCACCTCTAAATTCCTGTGATCCTTGGTTAAATATTTATCGAAGTGCCTTATCAGGATTGGGGTTAATAAAAGGTGAGCTATACTATTTGCCTGGGAAGGACAATAAACAAGTTACCACACGGGCCCATGTCTCCTGGAGTGGGCGTAGGCAAGTCTGGGTTATGGAAACCAGAGAGGCACAGACTTTAAACTGGGAGAAAAAAAATGTTTGAAATAGGAATTTATTAGAAGCATATGATATGCCATTAATTGAAAAGAATTAACTATTGATTCATAGAGAGAGCTAAGTGGGGATTGTAAAAACATGCAGTTAGCACTGTAACAAGCAAATTCTGATGCCTTGTTAAGGAGTCTGGCAGTTGAACTATGAAGAGATGCCCTGAAGGAATGGTCATATGATCTGGGGCAGAGGAGCCTTGCCATGACAGCTTGGTGCTGGGTACTGGAAAGTCCAGGCCTATGGGAGCTTGGGGGTCAACAGACTCAGGATACTGTAGATATACCTCACCTTTAGAGACATTGATGTGGACCCAGAAACCCAGGCCAAACCATGTGTTTTTCTTTCCTATTGCTGCTGTAATAAATTATCACAATCTTAGTGGTATAAACAATTCAAATGTACTATGTTATTCTTAGAGAGGCTTGAAATCACTGAGCCAAAAATCAAGGTGTCAGCAGAGTTATTCTCCTTTTAGCAATGACACCTGCATTCCTTGGTTCAGGCCCATTCCTCATCTACACAGCCAGTAGGATGCCATCTTTCAGTCCCTCTCTAGCTATAGCCCTGCTGCTACAGGGGCCTCTGTTGTTGAGTTAGAGCCCCGCCCCCCCATACACCCCTCCACACACACACATCTGGATCAGCCAGGATAATATCCTTATCTCGGGGTCCTTCACTCAGCCACATCTGCACAGTCCAATTTGCCATTTTAAAGTCACTTAGTCACAGGTTCCAAGGATTGGGATGTGGATATCTTTAGGAGCCATATTTGTACCTACTCATATCATCTCTACTCATTTTGGGGTCTAAGTTGGTTTACAGCCACAAACAACTGAAACAGATTTACCAACTCCAACTCAGCTGCTCCTGGCTGATCAAAGACTCACACTAAATCTACCCTACCAGCATTACTGTTATTCAGGAGATGATGGACAGAGTCGATGGACTCTCTGAAGAACCCTTCTGGTAAAACCTGACTGCCTCTCCCCTTCCATGTTCCCTGCTTCAAAATGAGAAAAATCACAGCAGCAAACTACTCCTAAGCAAGCACACTTTCCAAAACTTTCAAGACATACATCGTCCAGTTGGCATCATGTTGGATGTTAATTTTTTGCACATCTGTTAGTTCTTATTGCCTTTTATACATATTTTGAGTTTCCTAATCCTACTGTTACACTCTAGTTTTTTTTCCTCCTATTCAAAAATCTTTCCAATTTTTCACAAAACCCTCCAAGAAAGGACTAAGTTGCTTATTTTGTTGTCTGCTGAATTCCTTTGTTCCTATCTAAGAGGGTATTAGGGCCAGAATGGTGCCCTTCCCCTTCTTCCTGTAAAAATCCCTGTCAGAGCTTCAGCCCCAACTCCTGTGTTGGCAGGTAGGGCCTTAAAAGATGTGATTAAGCTTCAATACAGTCAGAGTTCGGTGCAGCATGACTTGTAGCCTTATCAGAAGAGGAGGAAGCATCAGGGGTGCACGCGTGCTGACACAGGTTCAGTCATTTGCACAGGTGATGAGGAGGTACAAGCCAGCAAGACAGGTTCAGGGGCAGTCAGCCCTACTGACATCTCCATCTTGGGCTTCCTGCCTCCAAAATTGTGAATAAAGAAATTTCTGTTGTTTAAGTCACCCCATCTGTGGCCCTTTGTAGTGGAAGAAAAAGCAAACACAGAAGCTGTGACCATCTTCTTCCCAACTCTCTGTCCTGCCAGATGCATCTGCCTCCTAGCTCCTCTGATTTCTTGCTGTTATTCAACAACTCTATAAAATACCATGGGTAGTTTCTGAGTCCCACAAGAGATCTTAGTTTTAGAGTTTCTCGGGGACAGAAGGATTTAAAAATGTGATGGAAGTAAACTTGATGCATTTTGTGGAAGGTGTAGAAGAAAGGGGAGACGGACACAAACATGAGTGAACCCAAGAAGGCTCAAGGCTCTGAAACTTGAAAAATAAGAAGCGCAGAAGGAAGTCAATAGGGCAGGATGTTCAGGCTGACAGCAAGCTTGGTTGTACACATGTCGCCTCAGTGATAATTCTAAGTGGAATGGAAACAGTAAGGCTGAGTGTGAAGAATTTGCACAAGGAAAGGTTGGGAATAGGAGTGAGATGCTTGATTTAGTTTAACACCCAAGGCTTCCCTTCTGTGGAAATAAATGACAATAAAGCACAGCATTCTGGCTTGGAACGAGTTTTAGAGGCCAAACAGGAGCTGCACCATGGGAATCTTCTGTACTAAAAGTCCTCCCTCACTCATTGCTTCATTCCATTTCACTTTCACACACTTGGCATTTTTTTATTCACTGAACATCTGCCACATGCCAGATACTGAGCCTGCAGTAGATACAAATATCCTGCATGTTAGCAGCAACAAAAGGAAAATTCTAGAAATGAACAGGCTACTTAAAGTCAGGAAGAAAGAGAAAAAAGTGAAAAGCATTGTCATCAGTGTGCCGAGGTGAAGTCAGTACATTGGCTGCATGAATGAGGCAGGAGGGTGTGACAGCTTGCCAGATGATCCAGGCTGTACCAGGAAATGGGGAAAGGTCAACCTTCTACAGAAGCCAAAATGTAAAAGCTTAGCAAAATATTGCAAATGTATGTAATTCCTCTGATTTCATTTTGCTTCAGCAAGGAAGCATAAAACGGGAAATACTTTGGGGTTCTCATACAAGCCAAAATATAATATCATTGCTTTTAACTGCCCTAAGTATCCCTCCCTCTGTCTCAGTCTTTTTTCTTCTTCCTCCTTCTCTGTCTTCCCCCCTCCCCACTGCCCTTGCCTATGCATTAGGGCAACTAGCTCTCCTCAGAGACACACGGAGTTTCAAGGAAGTCACTGAGGCGAAAATCAGAAAGGGAATGTGATGAGCAACAATCATGATTTAAGAAATACAACAAGCTTCTCCAGAAGAAATTTTTTCAAGTCTATTGCTCATATTATAACAAACACATGCCAAAAAAAAAAAAGTAACCAAACAAAAAATCCAGATGGATCCTTTATTTTGTAAAAAAACCTTCCTTTAAACCAAATGACCCGACAATAAGGAGCTGTGCTCATCTCTTGGGAGACAGAATCCTAAAACCACACTCAGGTCTTCAAAGACCCAAAAGACAATCCTGTAGGTATTCCCCCAAGACTTCCCCCAAAGCTGAGGAAGGTTCTATGGGAAACTCAGTTTAAAAGCAACTCTCATAGGAGAAAAGGGGTGGTGCCACAGGCATGAGCACCATGTGAGGCAAAGGGAGATTGTTTGGCCCTCAAGGTGTTGCCTGTTGTTGGAAGTGGAGAAACAAGTCAGGTGCCCCATCCTGTTCCAGCTGTGCAGAGGATGCTGAGAATGCTGCACAATGCTGGGGGCAAAACAGGCAAACCCCAGAGCCCTGGCAGCACAAAGGCAGGAAAGGTATTTGCCGACTCAGTCCATAGGGGAACAGAGTGTGCTGAGCTCACAGAGGGGTGAGAAAACAGAGCTGCCAACGCTACTGTTTCCCACAGCACATGGTATCCCTCCAAATCCAGGGAGCTTGGATGCTTGCAGTCAGGTTGTGAAAATGTGTAAGAATCCTGTATCCCCAGCAATGAGTGCATGACTTAGAAAATAGAAAATGTTATTCATACAAAGACTTGAAAGGAGAGAAAAATTGTACAGTATTAAGTTCAACAGTAGGTCCACAATCTAATGAATTTTGAGCCAGCTTTGCCTTTCACATGCCTGGCTTTCTAGTTCAACCCAAAGAATGCAGCCAGCCTCATGTTGTGAGAGGCACCCCATGACCCTAGAATAAAAAGTCAACTTACCTCCCATGCTGCTGATGTTTACCAGCCTGCCCTTGGATTTCCTAAGAAGAGGCAAAAATGTCTTTGTGACATGTACAGCTCCAAAGAAGTTCACGGCCATGCACTTTTTGTATTCGTTCATAGGAATGAGCTCCCCATCTGCAGGGAAGCCAATGATCCCAGCATTGTTGATCACAGCCCACAGCCCTGGGGACAGAAAGCAACAGACTTGAGGACAGGCAATGTTAGAGAATACAAGCATTTTTGAACACTTCAAAATCTGGAGTCAGATCTAGCACAACCCAAACTCTTGAGCCCCAGTGTCCCTAAATACCTAGAACTATGTCATGCAGCTAGGTAGGAAATCAGTTTGTGAAATATTAAGCAAGGTGATCTTGCAGATTCCTTCTTTGGCCTAAAACTGTTTTTCCAAAATCCAGGAAGCTGGACATTTCCTGTGTATGGGAAAGATGGTGAGCCAAGAGCATGCAGTTATGGTTCTGGCTGTAAAGTTTCAAAAGCATCCCACTTTCTCTTTCTGCCCCCAAAGGAGGGAGTAGAGACAGAATAATATCTTTAGGACAATGTAGGGTGACACAACAGCCTGTCTTCCCTTATTCCTACGTTAGAACAGAAAATGAGGAAATGGAAAAGCAAATTCTAAGACCTGAGATAATGGTGGGAATCCCTGATAGAGGCTCTGGGTCATTTTCCCTGAACCCCTTGTGGTGAGGAGGGGCTTCTTTAAACACAGGTCGTACACCCCAGAACTAGATATTCTTAGCTGGGCGTCTGACTGGGACCACGGGATCTTTATTTCTAATACAGCCAGGTGATTCTGATGCTTCTGGTCAAACCATTCTTGGAGCCCAGCAGGAGTGACTTCTGGCCTTCATTGCACATGAGTAATACTTGTACAGCTTGAAAATCCTAGCAGATAGGCCACATTCCAGTTAAATAGGTCAGCAATTCTGATTGGGGCTAGAAGAGGGACATGAACACTAACAGCTGTAAAAATTCCTTAGGTAGTCCATTGCACAACCAGGTTTAGGAGCCACTTCATAAATGGTAGGAAAATGTAATGCAAAAGCTCTAGGCAGTGTTTGGGTATCAGGGGACATCTGGAGCAGAAGTGAGAGCCCTGAATCCTTTTCACATTAGAGAAGCAGAGATAATAGGCTCTAAGTGTGTAGACAGACCTGAGTTTCCAAGCCCTCAGAAGGGGGTGACAGTGGGCCTTGAAGAATAATCCCCAAAGCACCAGCAATTGGTGTTGACAAGTGATTAGTTTGAAATGTATGTTCTTAAACCCCCACTGTAGACCTGCTGGATCAGAAACTATTGATCAGGAAGTGTTGCTGAGGCATCGATGATAGAACATACTTTGTAAGATCCTGATGCCTGCCCAAAAGCAAAGACCTTGGCAGAGAAGCCAAGTCAATCTGCATAGTAGAAGAGAAGGCACTAGCCCCAACAAGGCTGTCTGATGGCAGCAAGGAGCGGGTGGCAGAAACCTGCATGAAGACTGGCACACTGCTGGCCCTCTCAGCTAGGGCCCGTGTGAAGTGCTAACTACCAAAGACCAAGTGCCCTTCTCCAGGAATGCCCAGCTTACTTAGGAGAAACTGGGTGAGGTTTCGAATGATTGAGATGGGTTTTGCCACATGACAGAAGCCTGGCCTAAAATAGCAGCTGAACTGACCAGTAGAAGATAAAAACTACACTTCCCACACACCACGGGTGGATGGTCTGACCCTTACACAAAGTAGTGATAGCAAGCATCAGGTGAGATGGTGCCTGGCAGGTGGTGAGAGCTCAGCAACCATTAAGCTGGGGAGAGTGGACAGGGCATCTTGTTCACAGCAGGCACGGTTTTGGCCTGTGTGGCCTGATGAATACCTTTGGTCAGTCAACATGCAGTTTGAGAATGTCCTAGGATGAGGGTCAGCCAAGTTTCTCTGTAAAAAGCCAGATATGGAATGCTTTATCTTTGCTGGCCCTGCTGCCATGATGGTGTGTGCCAGTGACATTTTATTTATGGACACTGACATTTGAATTCTGTGTCATTTCAACATGTCAGAAAAAAAATTTTGCTCATCTCTTTTAGCTGCTTACAAAAATGTAAAACCCTTAGCTCACAAAATGGGTGGTGGATCCAGAGAACATTCTTTAAATAACAAAGTAAAGGGAGTAGAAGGCAATGGGGGATTACTAGGGGTTGAGTACGAGTGTGGCAGTGACATGGTACCATGAGAGTCTGGGGGTAGGGGAATGTAACCCCACCATCTGCCAATTCCTGCCACAGCTGGCCATTAAGTCCATTATACCTGCAGGTCTTGATAACAGTTGAATAGTAATCCATGTTAGTTAATAATTAACAGCACATAAATTCTAATTGAATACTATGCCTCATAGGCACACAGGACAGTTACTGACCCTCTTGTGGGAACTGAAGCTTTCTTATTTCTCTGAAGGCCCCAAAGGGTTCATTAACAACCATTCTTGTTCTGCTACTCCAAGTTCTGAGGCTTGAGAGGCTGAAAGTCAGAGAAACCCTGAGGAAGGCAGAACGTGTGCTGGCCACTCCACGTCCAGGATGCTGGGCACAAACCCAGGGGTTCACACCTAGAAAGCTGCTCATTACACCTCTTCATACCCAGATACCATTACAGGATTTCCATATCCAGAACCCCCTGCTTTTTCATTTCAGTAGAACCCAGGAGAATCTCTAATGGATGTCCCTTTATCAGATCCATAAAAGAGATAAGCTCAACTCCATAGCAAATGACTAGGCTGGAAGAGCTGCCTTTCTAGAACATAACTGTTTGTTGATAAATTGGCTAAATACCTAAGAACCAGAAACCTATGTTTCCTCTTCTCTCTCGTTTTTCAGATATTCAGCAAATATATACTAAATTCTAGGGATGGAAAACAGGAGTCTTTCCTGGTTGCTTACCTTGTGCTAAGGGCTCTTCTGAAGGCTGTCATATAATGGTTCATCCTTCAACTACAAAACAAGGCAGCCACTGTTACTCTCCCTTTCCTGGGAATGTCATGTGTAAGGAGGATGTAAGCCAGAGATGCCTGATACCACAGAGCTCTAAATGAAGCCAACAGAAGAGAAAGAAAGACAAATGACAGAGCTAGCAAATAGTGATTTGCTTAAGTTCCTGGATTCAGCTAGGTCAACAAGTCTTCTCAAGTATGTAAGCAAATACATTCTCTTCTTTATGTTGGAATTTTTTAGCTGAGTCATGTCACTTGTATCTGAAAGAGTCCTGTGAGGCACATGGTTCTTGTTTTCAAGGAAGTGAGTGGTAAAGAGTGGGAGGCAAACAGATATTTATAATATTTTGATAATAGAGATATATTCAAGACATAATGAAAGAACATTGGGAAGGGAATATAATAATGCAACTGGATCACCAGGAAAGTCAGGCAGATGTGGGAATAATACCTGTTGTTAGAGAAAACAAGAGTCTTAGGAAGAGAAATTAGAAGTGAAAAGGAAATTCTAGTAAGAGGATGCTGAATGTGCAGCGGTATGAAAGAAATAGTACACTCTTTTCTGGAAACCATTTGGAATTTACTAAGTGGACCCAGCAGGCATCTCAGATTAAGGTTTGGCAGGGGCCATGATCCTGAAAAGCCTTCTGAGCTTTGAGTGTTCAGGTTGCATTTCTTGGCAGATAGGAAGCCCTTGAATCAGTCAAGGAATGTCTGACAGAGCAATTCACTGTCCATAGGCCTAGCACATGGGAGGAACCCAACACATGGAAGCTCTGTGTGGAGATGGCTGGCACTATAGGATGTGCACACTGTAGCACTCTTCTCCCTTTGGCAAGGTAGAGGGAATAAACGGTTACAGAAAGGCCATCGTGGAACCCAGATGGGAGATAATGAGGGCCAACACTTCACCATAGTTGCCAGGTCAAAAGGACTGGACAATATATTCAAGGAGGTGGAGTCAACTGGACTCAGTCTACAAGGTACAGGGACAGGGGATAAGCTGGGGGTCTCAGCGACCATCAGATTGCTGACTTGAATGTGTGGTTGGACAGAAATAGCAGCATCTGAGACCTAGAACACAGGAGAGGAAACTGATTGGCAGCAGGGGAGGAAGATGAGGAGGTCAAATTTTAACTTGTTGAGGTTGCCTCTAGGTTATGAGTGGAGACAGCTAGCGGACAACTCACAAACCTGTAGGTCCAGATGTGCGAAAGAACTAGGTTGGTAATAGAGACTTGAAGTTACTGACATGAATTAATGTCTCCTGGATGTGGTTAAACATTAGCCTTTTCTGGGGGTGGGGGTGGGAGGGGGTAGAGACAGCTGGATCCCCTCCTACTGGATTTGAAGGTTAGAGACACTTGGCAGGAGGACCCCAAACAGGGCCCAAAGCTTCAGAAAAATCCCATACTGAGTTTTATGCCCATCTTTTTTTTTTTTTTTTTAACAAGGGACTCAGCATTTTACTTTTATTTCATTGAGGTCCCCTGAGTTACACAGCCTTTCCTGAGCCCTAGCTCACACAATTGAAGGCACTCCCCAGGTGATTTCAGGGTGTAACTGACCTGAGAACCCTGGTCTCAGGAGAGATAAGTATAGTACAGGGAATGTGGAGTGGGCGGCACTTTGGGGGATGGAGCCCTGAAAGTGTTCATGACAGGAGGAAGTTGGCGGAGGAAGCAGAAAGAACTAGAGACTAAGAAGGGCAATGAGGTAGAATGACCCCAAAGCTTAGGCTGTCATCAACATACTTTCACACTACAGAGAGGTTATGAGCTTGGTCTTCAGAATAACATTGACAGGCTTTGAAAAGCCAGGCAGGGTAGCAAGGTGAGAGTCAACAATCAAAATTCAGGATGAGGAAGAAAAAACGAAGGGCAACTGGGCTACTTAAACCCCAGCCCTGAAGGAAGAGAGGGGGAAAGGCAGTGGTTAAATAAGGATGGTGACATGAACTAGGTTTGTTGAAGTTGGGGGAATCTAATGCAGGGTAATATTGCACAGTCAAAAGCCATGGGAGTGAACAGGTAATTTGTGGGAGGGTGATCAAGAAGATGGGGGAAGGAATGGGATAGGGAATTCTGTGATTTCATTAAGGATAGGTCATCTCTGAGTCATTCCCGGTATCATAGTATCCATGGAGGCCCCAGTCAATACAGATGTCCTCTGGGCGTCAGTGGTCGGAGTGATGTAGAGGACACAGCCTCAGAGGCTGGAGGGAGTAGGGTGTTGATGCGAGGAAAAGAGCAGTACCTTTGTCCTTCACCTTCTCGGTGACTTTGCTATGAGCATCCTTGACCTGTTCGGGGTCGGTGACATCCATCTGGAGCACAGACAGGCGACTGGAGCAGTTTCTTCGCAACTCCTCTGCCCCCGAGCCTTGTTCATTCAAGACCCCAGCGAACACCGTGAAGCCCATCTTGTCCAGATGTTTGCAGATCTCATGGCCAAACCCACAGTCGCTGCCTGTAGAGAGTCAGGGGAGGGTGGGGTGAGCTCCAACCACAGGGACAGGGGAAGTCATGTATTAAGGAAAGCATCACACGCACTGATGATCTGTGCTCTGCAGATTGGGGGTCCTGAGGAAGTGTTTTGTTTGCTGAGATGAGAAATGGGCAGAGAAGGCATTACAGATGCATTTCTCAGTCTAAAAAAAAGAGGGAGAAGCTATAACTGCCCAGCATGGGAATATGTGAGTAAAAGAAAAGAGTAGAGGAGCCCAGGGGTGGCTAGTGGCTGAAGAACATGGGGGAAACAGGAATCTCTTATAGGAGCTTTGGACAAGTACCTCTGCTGGGTAGTATTTGTAGGATTTGGACCTTCATCATTGTGTGACATCTACAGTCAAATATTAATTTTTGTTTTTGAAGGCAATTAATGGGGTTGGGCATGGCCCAAATAAGCCTGCTAATTCTGAATTTCAAGAGATTAAACCTATAGCCACCTGTGTTGTTCATTTCCTCCTTGCTCTGGCCCACCCCTGAGCCATTGAGTAGACATCAACTCTGGGAAGAAAGAGCAGAAACCAGGCAGAAAGCCCCACACACTTGGCTTTGTGCAGATCCAACATAATGTAGCATGTCAAATACACATTAGCACTGCCAGAATTTGAGATAGGAGTTCAGTCAACCAGCTGGAAAAGTGTTATAGAACCTGGAAAAATTCTTTACATAGACACTCGGGATTCCACAAATGAAGACAGACATATAACCAGCTCTGAGCTTCTCTGTAATAACCTGATAATAGTTCATACAATTCTCCAGTTTTGGTGATAAGAAATCATTTCATGTTGACTGTGTCATGTGATCTTTCCTCTAAGCCTTGAGTGACTTCCCTCATCAGCAGCTGGGAGATGTAGTCAAATCCTAAATCCAAGTCCATGACTATCCATCATTCTGGACTACCACATTCTCCTTCCTCTGCAGAAGCAGAGACAAGAGGCGCATCAGATCCAGGGGCCCATCATCTGCTCCCCACACTTGGCTCTCACTTTGGTATGTTCACAGACTTTTTAGATGTGTCACCATCATTGATACCAGGTCTTCCCCTATCCCACAGTGGTCCCTAAGATGACAATTGTCCTGTATAATTTTATCCCTTGAGTGGCTGATTGAACCATGGTCAGTCAACCTACTCTACTCAGAAATGTAAAACTGGCTGCAACATGCCAAGCAATCTTCATTACAGCTTGGCCCAAGCTATGGTCTGATAGTATCCCCTTCAAAACTGAAGTGTGGCAGCTTTGAGGATTAAGAAGAGGGAGCCTGGGGCCCAGCATGGTAGTCTAGTGGCTAAAGTCCTCACCTTGCATGTGCCAGGATCCCATGTGGGTCCCAGTTTGTATCCCAGCTGCTGCGCTTCCCTTCCAGCTTTCTGCTTGTAGCCTGGAAAAGCAGTTGAGTATGGCCCAAAGCCTTGAGACCCTGCATCCATGTGGGAAACCTGGAAGAAGCTCTGGGTTCCTGGCTTCAGATCAGCTCAGCTCTGACTGTTGCAGCCAGTGGGGAGTGAACCAGCAGAAGGAAAATCTTTTTCTGTGTCTTTCCTTCTCTGTGTAAGTCTAATTTTCCAATAAAAGTAAATAAATCAAAGAAGAAGAAGAAGAAAGTGGGGACCTGGCTACAACACCTGCTGGCAAATGCCAAAGTGAGGCAGGCCATGTCAAACTTGGCTGCAGCACCAACCAGCACACGTTAAGACTGGGTAAGGTGGGTAGAGGGCGGAGGTGGTGGCAAGAACACTACAGGTGCTGCAGGGACTGCCCTGCTGGGCCACTGTCCCTGCTGGTGAGCATGTGAACTGGGGCCAGGGCAGACCAAACTAGGCAGAGTTACAACATCTGTTGGACTGCATGTGAGCTGAGTTATGGGGAAAGCCAGGCAGAGCTAACTGACTGTCACACACCCAGTGGTGCATGCCTGAGCCAGAGTAAGTGCAGGCTGGTTGGGCTTTACTGCAGCATCAACTGGCAAGTGCTGGAAATGGGGGCAAGTCCTGTCAAGCTAAACTGTAGAACCACCTGGAAAATACAGATCTGGGGCTGGGAGTGAGCCTAGTAGGAAACTGTGGGCACCTCTCTGATGGATTACAGCTCCCACCAATGAGCATGAGAACCAGGGCAGGGGTAAACCTGGCTGGAAGGGTGGTAACACCTGACAGCATACTGTGGGCACAGCAGTGGGGTCAGTTGGGCTGAGCTAGGCTGCAACATCTATTGGTGTGTATAAAAGCTGGGATGCAGGACAGGCTGGACAAGACTACTGCATAGACCAACATAAGTAGGAACAAGGGCTGGAGGCAGGCCTGGTAGGAATTTGGGGAGTTCACTCTGACTAGGCTGTAATTCCCACTGGTATATGTGAGGGCCAAGTGTTTGGTGGGCAGTGTTGGGCTGGGCCACAGCATCCATCAGTTTGCATAAGTGATGGAGCTGGAAACAGAACTGACCCAACAACTGCAACTGCTAGTATGTGGGTAGGCTGATGTGGGTGATGGACTGAGCCATACCCCGTAGTGGCAAACACATACAGGAGTCAGGTCTGGGGTCACCTCTGATGAGGTTTCTTTGGGGACCCTCCACACCCAACTGGACTTCTGGACTCAAAAGTCCAACCACAGGGAAAATTGCAGAGTTTGTGGAGTGCATGTGTCAGAACTGGATCTTTTCAGTTGCTGAAAATGATATAGTGGACAGTATGCTGATGTACATGGGAGATATGGCAGTTCATTGGGGCCTGCAGAAGACATCTAGTACCATAGCAGATGATAGAGGGCAGAAAAAATTGGACAACTCTCCCAGCCAAACTTTGACAGTAAGTATCTGAGTGAATGGAGACACTAAGGTGGACTGTGTCAGCCAATAGACCTTGAAGGATTTCCTCATGGAGCAATGAAACCATTCAAATGTTACCCTCAGAGCATGCTCCACATCAGGGACCCAGGGATGACCACAGGTGGCTGTCCCCCATCCCTGGGTCTTGATGCAGTTGGGATACTGGGTACAGGTTCTCACCTTCTCTCCCCTCTTCCCCCAGATGCAGGAAGAAAAACAGAAAGAGAGACAGAGAAAGACTAAGCTCTTCTATCTGCTGATTCACTCCCAAAGGGTCACACAGCCAGAGTTAGGCCAGTCAGAAAGTGAGAGCCAGGAGCTTCTTCATGTCTCCCATATAAATGCAAAAACTCGAGGCCGTGGGCCATCCTCCACCACCTTCCCAGACCATTATCAAGGAGCTGGATTGGAAGTGGAACAGACGGGACTAGAACTGGCACCCATATGGGTTGCCAGTGCCACAGGCAGAGGATTAGCCAGCACCACCATGCTGAACCCAATTAAAAACCCTTTCAAGAGGGTTTGACAGAGACATTCCATCTGTTTTTATTCTGTCTTTGGCCATGTGAGGATACAACCGGCAGGTCCTCATCAGACCCCAAGTACCAACACTCTGTCTTGTACTATCCAGCCTCCAAAAGAGTGTTTTCATTATAAGGTCTCCAGTTTTGTGTTATTCTGTTAGAGCAGCACAAATGAACTAGGCAACTCAGAGGCCATGAAACACAGGAGCTTGTAGACAAAGTGGTTGACTGCTCCCTCTAGCACGTGAAGCTAGAGGTCAGGTCATCCCTAGAGCAATGAGGCACTGTCACAAACAAAAGCAGAATCCCCAGTCCAAAGATAACCACAAGAGGTAGGCTCAGGGTCACATTCCAGTTTCTGGAGGAGCTTGCCATGTAACACCCACAGCCCTAGGCCATCCTTGCCCTCTCCTTAAGTAACCTAAACTCCATCCTTTTCACCTTCCATGGACACTGAAACTAGTGGCTGCTTCTGGGCAGGTTTCTCAAAAGGATAAAAGTAGGGTTCCCAGTAGAGCTAGCAGTCCTGCTCCTAGGGGTCTGCCCACACAGGAGCCTGTCAAGATGTTTACACCTGTATTATTCAATAACAACAACAACAAAAGCAAAATACTGATCAAAGATCCATCAGCTGATGAATGGGTTGGAAAATATAGTCATAGTGGAAGGAATGGAGTACCCACACCCGCTGAGCCTTGAAAACATTCTGAGTGTTGGAAGCCTAAATAGCAGACAAAGGGAGAAGACATTGTGATGCTGACCCCATTTTTATCAGAGTGGAGAATGAACTTTTAGGCATTTCTCAAAGTAGTGTCTCTGACCAGCTTCCTGAGTCCAGAATCTGACTGCCTTAGGAAAGTTCTTACCAAAAGAATGGTTCAACTGGCTAATCCTCCCACTTCAAGCACCGGGATCCTATGTGGATATCAGTTTGTATCCTCAATGCTCCACTTCCCAATCAACTCCCTGCATGTGGCCTGGGAAACCAGTGGTGAATGGCCCAGTGCCTTAGGATCCTGCACCCATGTGGGAGACCCAGAAGCGGCTCCTGGCTCCTGACTCCTTGCTTTGGATCAGCTCAATTCTGGCCACTGCAGCCACTTGGGGAGTGAACCAGCAGATGGAAGATCTTTCTGTTTCTCCTGCTCTCTGTAAATCTGCCTTTCCAATAAAAAATCAATAAATCTTTTTAAAAATTTGCACATTATGGTGCTATATGCAAACTGAGTGACAATTAAATTGAATTATATGCAAGCTACGCAAACTTGGAAAGCAGCAGAAGTTAAGAAATCCTCCTTATTCTGAAGAATATATCTGCAGAGAATCCCCTTTCCAAAACAGGAGATTCACAGTTGCTCCCTTATTCACCTCTGACCCAGAAATTCCAGATTCCTTCCTTTTCTCATATGTGATTAACTGTACTACATGTTCCCAGTGACCAGCAGGAAGGGACGTTTTAACCTAACTTTAGCATGAATTATCTTCCCCTGGTCTTGGCTCACTCTCAGCCAGAGCCAGCAACAGTCCCTTCTTCTACAAATACTCTAATGCTGCCACTCCTGATCTTCCACCTTCTGTCTACTCTTGTTTATTCCTCCTTGTAAAAGCAT